TAAGCAAAAAACTATGAATTTTGCCACATCGTAATTTCTAGTGTCATTCAATATTTTGTTTGGAAACGAGGCCAAGGAAATTTAATTTTTCTCTGCACGAAGTGAAAGCTAAACAATTCATTTGAAATTTGGAGTTTGAATTGAGAAAGGAAATGTAATTAATTTATTTGCACATGTACTTACATATGTGCATTGAGAATAAGAATAGCAACAAAACAATTGAACGGCAATTATTGCGAAAGAATACGTAGATTTATTTGCAATAAATTTCATATTTAAATCTGTTTCCATTCCGAAAAATCCCCCATCGAATAATTACCCTAATTTCAGCAATCACCACAGCAATTTAATGAACTGAAAATATATTTGCTTTTCTTATATCTCTTCTACCTCATGCTTACTCATACCTGTCGTCACACAGAGCGCAGTGCAGCACTCGACTCGGTGAAAACCAATCACAACTTCATTTGCAAGAACATGAGTTTATTGTGCTGCATGTCACGGCCGAGATATCTCTGAGACGAAGCGTAGGGCCCGATGAGAGGGCAGTGCCCAAATGCAACATCAACAACAACAACAACCACGTCTACGGTACCAGCAACAACAACAACAACAGCTAGCACTACATTAAGCAAATGGACGGATACATTTTGTCAATTTTGTCGTACGAAAAGTACAAATAACAGTACATAGTAGGCATTAAAATGGCGATAGAAAAGGAAGAGGAGCGATATAGCGGAAAATGCGAGAAATTATTAAGTAGCTGAATAGAATTAAACAAAGTCAACTATTTATTAAGTCATATTTATTTGAGGAAACATACATACATATATGTATGTACTTTAAGTATCCATACATATGAAAGTAAGTAAGTAGGTATGCAAGAAAATAGATGCGCGTGTGTGTGTGTGTAAGTACTTAAGCAAAGATAAGACACCAAATAAGTAGCAGGAAAGCGAATTAGCAAGTATGAGAACTTATTTAGTTGACAAATACATAGTTGTAAGTAAATAAATAAATAAACAATGAATACAACTAATGTCAATAAATCAAATGTTAAAGTCGGAAATACAATTTTATTGTTGTTGGAGCACGCGTGTGTCGTATGTACATATGTACACAAATACGAGTAAGTACATATGTATATTTGTCTTAATGTACCACTGACCTTCCCAATTTGTTATTGTATGTAGATATGTAATTACAGTGCACTTACCTATGTGTTTCACGTACAAAAATCCAACTCACACAAATACACAAAATTGAAAGCTTTTAGTAACAAATATGTATACCACATACAAATACACACATACTTATATTTATTAAATATGGACTAAGTAACGTAATTAGCTTGTAAGTTAGCATTAAAATGAATTATGGAAATGTTAAAGCTATTATCTACTAGAAAACACAAACATTTGTAAGTTATCATTTACATTCACCAAAAATAGGCTGCATTAGATAAATTAAATTTAATTTAAGTTGTTCCCCACTAAACGTATAAACGAAATTATCCACAGAGTTATTTTAAAACATTTAATTAAAATGGTTGTTAACCTACTTGAAATAATGTATTAACAAATACAAATAGCTTGAAAGAACAATTTTGATTATATAAGCCCTTAAGTTTTTATATTCATGGTTTCCATTTTTCGTCAGGTCCTCAGTTTTAATACTGCAACAGTAGAGCTGCTCTTAATCTTCCCTTTAACATGCGGGTTTTTTGGATTAAACAAAATATTTGGAGCTGATTTTTTGATAATTTGTTTAGTATTTATCTTTTTTTTTATTCATATTTAACACATATTACAGTTTTTTTGTGGTGGTATTTACCTACAAATTTGTTGCACATTCCATGTTTGGCCGATTGTTGGTTTGCGCTCATGTCATACTGCCATAAGAGATATCGTGCACGTTTATGCGTGCTGGCTCCAGTGCTCTGTATTTGTTCTACGAACCGCCCGGCATTGCTTCGACGGGGAATTATTCCTCACAAATCCCATTGAAAATTGAAAGTTTCTGTGTTATATGAGAATAGGGTCCTTTGTGACCCTTGGCTCGAATTGGAAAAAATAGCCAAAAAATACTCCTAGTAAAACGTAAAATTCCATGGTAAACAAAATCTGGATTTTTTAGCAAGAAAAAATAAAGTAAAAAAATTGGCTGATCGGACCCAAGGCAAGTGAGAAAATCGGATTCAAAATTTAAAAAGGGTAAATTTTTACCCCAAGCACTAATGAGGGTTAATGTGAAGAAATTAAAATTCTCTGCACTTCGGTCTGGGGAAACGATGTTAGAAACCGTGTTTTAAAATGAATGTTAGTAACGCAAGGTTAATCAAAAGTTATGGTCTGATTATGCATAACTTCGCATAAACTTCAAATTGTCATTTTCTATATAAGTACTTTGTATGTACTCCAATACCCAGAAATTAGAAGAACTTGTACAAACTTAGCGAGCTGTTGAGTTGAGATTTTGATTCACATTTTCTTAAGTGACTTTTCAATTGCAGTGATTGTGCGAAGTTTGCATAATCAGACGTTTACATGTGGAAAATACACTGGCGGTCATTAGAATAGACTCGCCTTACTTTGAAGAGTTTGGCTATATTTTCATGGTTTATTTTATGTTTAATATTTTTTTATAAAAGCCTGGCTAGTTATACAACAAACACCATATAAATATCCCTTTCAAACTTTATACAAAAATTGTGAAAATTCGACAAATTTTCACCAAATTTTTAAACTTTTTATTCAGAATATTTAGAAAAAATTTTGGTATGCAGTTTTGTAGCCCATTCAATTTTCGGATAATAAGTGCAACTTCAAGAGGCTAGAAACCGTTGATTTTTGAAAATTTTTTTTGTTGACGATGCTAGGCATTCTCTTTCATATAAAAAACATTGTCGAGCACACTTTGTATGGTAAAAAATTCGTGACACCGTCAGCAAAAAAAAAAAATCTTAAAAATCAAAGGTATTTTTTAGAAAACTGACACTTGCACTTTATTATCTTAAAATTGAATGGGCTAACAAACTGCATACCAGATTTTTTTTGTAAATTCTGAATAAAAAGTTTAAAAATTTTAATATAGTCAAAACTCTTCAAAGTAAGGCGAGTCCATTCTAATGGCCGCCAGTGTACATGAATAGAATTCATATTTTTCCACAAATTTTTTTAACATAGTGTAATAATGTGTGTCAACGGATCCGGGCTATAGTTTCCACTAGATTTGCAATAGCAATACCAATTATTTAAAAAAATACATGAAAATAAGCAAAGTAAAGGAGTTACGGAGCTCAAAAGCATTGATATGGGAACACAATAAAATTTGATTCGGGTCCATCCGCAACGCCCGGTAGAGAAAGGGTTTAAATCACTCTCTCGGCGTTGTTAAGGGTTAAGCACGAAATTCTTAGAAATTCTACTCTGTTTACTCAAAAAACAGAATGCAGCACACATCAATTTACTATCGTCAATTACTTATATAAATATGTATGTAACTAGTTCCCATTATTTGAAGCTAACAGCCATCATTCCACTAATTGCTAACATCAATTGGGCATTAGCGGCCGTCAATTACTAAACGACCTTTTAATGTACTTCAAGCACAGAATTTTGGTCGTTTGAGTTCATTAGAAAGAAACAATAAAACAGCAAAATGGCAATGAAAGCGTTCTTCATGTCTGGCATTTGACAGCTTCAACTAGCACTGAGTTCATATGCTGTCAGATGCTCTGCGACTTGAAATATTGAGCCTTTTGTAAGATAGTGAAGAGTAAATAACATTACATAATTAGGTGAGTGGCAAATGAAAGTGAAAATTTGGGCGAAGTCTGGAAGAGGCAACTGTGGCAAAGAAAGTTGAAAGTCTTTTGCAAGATAATTGAAAGACAGTGAGCAAGACACTTTTAGAGCTTTTGGTTATTGTGACCTTAATGTCTTACAAAAAAGCTGCTTACCAATTTTCATGGTGAAAAGCTCTTTTGACAGAAGCGCTTGCTCGCATCGCTCCAACAGTCGCAACGGCCAAGTGAATGAAACGCCGTCCTTCCATCCGGGAGATTCGGTTTCGAGTCCTCGGGCAGCGGATTTTTTTCATTGTTTTAAGGAATTTCCTTTAATTTTTGGCATTTATTGTTCTAAAAGAAAAAAAAAGTTTGAGTTTTGTTTAATTTTTAATATTCAGCTTTTATAGTTTTAAAATTTTTTCCATTGTTCAGATTAGTTTCTTTTTAAGAAAAATACAATTTTTTAATTTCGTTAAATTTTTAGAAAAAAGTTTGTTGTATTAACTTTTCCTTTAATATTCAGACTTAATTGTTAAAAACAAAAATTTACCTTCATTGTATTAGTTATAAATTCTGTTCTTTGTTGATTATGCATATTGTTTTAAAAAAATTGTTTCTTTTATTTTAGTACCTAATTTTGGAAAAATGTTTTTTTTAATCAACTTTTTGATTAATATTCTGCTTTTATTGTTAAAACACAATATAAATTTTTTTAATTTCAAATATTTTTTTTCTTTTTCAATTTAAATTTCCGTTGTTTTTTTGTCAGAATTGACAATTTTGTTACGAAAGGCTTTTGTCTTTCCTGCAAGTATAAGCGGAGGATCTGAATATTAGTAGTTTATAAACATGCTTTGAGGTGTCGTACGCATTTCAAAATAATCTTCTTTATTTCGGTTATAATTTTTATCTTCATTATACTCGAAACATTTTCATTATAAACTTTCTGGCAAAAATATTTTCTTATTTGGTCACTTACATGATTGCACTGGTATCAAAAGCCCATTTCGCATTTAATTTTTAGAGAAACTGAGTCCGCATATATTCACGCAAATTTATAAATTTGTGAAATTTTAAACATGTACACATTGATTACCTAAAATTTTGTTTTACAAATACAATATATGTACAATTAACATAGTTTCGTAAAAAATTTTCCATAATCACATTTATAGAATAGAGCACCTAATTTACATAGTAACTAACTAAATATGTATGCATAACAAAGTCAATTGAATACAATTATATACATATATGTAGCATTGTTCATATGAATTTATAAAATAATTAAATTTAGATGTATTCAATAAATCTGTATTCAATAAATAAGTAAATAAATTAACAACAATGTTTTCAATAAAATAAAAATTAAATCAAAAGAGTGCAATCAAGAACATATAAACCAAGTTGCAGCAACCGCTAACATGACAAAATAGCAATTAAATTCATTATTTACATACACATGCTGCTATAAAAATCCCCCTGCAGGGAAAGCTACTAGTTGTGAACTACGTAGAATGCTACCCGTTTGTGGTTCACCCTCACTAGTTCACGCTCTATCCTTTTTCAATGTTAACGTCTGGCATTTTTAACATAGCCGTTTCATACGATATGTCAACTGTCCGCTTCAGCAACTACCAGTAGAAATACTAGTTGCATCATGCTAGTTGAAGGGATAGTCTGCCGTTTCATCTCCCATGAAAGGAAAAAATATGTAACGTTTTTTTTGGCTTTGCACCAGGTGATGACCGGCGAGCGACTTGAGAACCTTGCTGCGGCTCTGTACTTTGTTGACAACTACGGTTGTGGGCGCGGAGAAGGAGAGCAGGCTATCGAAGGTGACCCCTAAAATTTTCGGGTTGTTTACTATCGGTATTGGTGTGCCATCGACGTGTATGCCTAATTCTAGCCTGACCTCCTTCGTACAGGTGGTGAAGAGGGTCGCCGTTGAGAGTATTAGGCTTCTTGAAGTGAAGAAGCAAGAAAGGTGGGAGAGATAGT